AAAGTGCGGCAACAAAATTTTACCAGCATGACAAATATTCCCTAATTCACCGTGACTCCAAGTTACGTTTGTCGCAGTTCCAACGTGTGATGAAAGGTAAAACTATTGGCATCGACGAACAAGCCGATCATCTTAGAAGTGCCCGCATTCAATACAATCGTGACGTTTTAGGCTCTATTATTAAAACTTTTATACTGGCAGGCAGACAGAATCTTCCCTTACGAGGCCATCGTGACGACTCAAAGTATTTTCTATCTTCTAATCCTGGGAACTTTCAAGCCTTTTTGAATTTTAGAGTAGACGCGGGTGACGCGAAACTAGAAAAACATTTTGAAAATGCAAGTAAGAATGAAACTTATCGTTCGAAGACAATTCAAAACAAGCTGATAAAGATCTGCGGGGAACAAATCAAAGAAAAGATTGTTTCTGACATCAATTCTAGTGAATGCCCAATTTACTCAGTCCTTGGTGATGAGGCAACAGGCTGCAGCAGTATCGAGCAGATGCCAATTGTTGTAAGGTATGTTGACTCAAAGCAAGAAATTAATGAACGATTTATTAAATTTGTTGAGTGTGAAGGAATGACTGGCGAAGCGCTAGCGAAGAATATCGAAGATACTTTAAACGAAGTTGGGCTACTACTTTCCAACTGTCGTGGTCAGTGCTATGATGGTGCCAGTGCAATGTCAAGCAAATCAAAGGGAGTTGCTGGTCGTATTTTAAAGAAAATCCAAAAGCTTTGTATATCCATTGCGCTAGTCATCGATTGAACCTTGTTGTTGCTAAAGCATGTGGTGAGCAAACTGTCAAAAACATGTTGGGGCATGCTCAAAAGATCTTCAGTTTCTTCAGCCCATCCCCCCTACGAATGCAGTGCTTGAGGCAGAATATGGAAAAGTCTGGGTTACGTCGTAAAAAACTAGGAGCTCCATCCACAACGCGTTGGGTTGAACGGATACGTACACTTGATGGATTTGTGGAAGCATTTGTACCTGTTTGTCAAAGTTTAGAGTACATGAAGCTCAATATGAATAAAGATTTTGATAATTCAAGTAGGGACGCAGAGGGATATCTTCGTTCCATAAAATCTTTCGAATTTATTGTTAATCTTGTGATTACATCAAATGTTCTGCATCACACAATGTCGTTGACTGTCCAACTGCAGCAAAGGATGATCGATATCGCTGAATCAATTAAACATATAAATCTTTTGAAGTCACAATTAAAAATTTTACGCAGCTCGGCTGATACAATTCATGACCAATACTACGAAGAAGCAGTGGATTTAGCAAACAGAGTAAACGTTGATGAAAAAATTCCTCGACTTTGCAATGTTCAGACAACTCGTGAAAACTATCCTGCACATACAGCACGTGAATACTACCGCATGAAACTAACCATCCCTCTTCTTGATCACTTGATTGAACAGATGGAATTTCGGTTTTCTTCAGAGGTGTGCGATATTTATCGTGGATTCTATATTATACCTAGTATTTTTCTCAATTGCAAGGACGTTAATTGGAAGGAAGAGTTTATGAAGTTTGCTGTTGCATATAAAGAGGATATGCCACACTTTCGGAAAATACATGCTGAATTAGGATTGTGGGAAACAAATTGGAAAGGGGGCTTTGAGAAAGTTAAGTACGATTCAATTGCCGACACGCTTCGAACTTGTAACAAACTTGCGTTTCCAAATATATTTACAGCGCTTAAGATACTCGCTGTTGTGCCAGTCACTACATGTGAGTGTGAAAGATCCGTTTCTGCCCTTCGTCGAATGAAAACTTGGTTACGTAGCACAATGATCAACGAAAGGTTAAATGGATTAGCCCAAATGCATATTAATGATGATATTAAGTGTGATGTCGAAGAAGTGATTAATACCTTTGCTAGACAAAACCCAACGAGGATGCAATTTCTTGATATCCTGGAGGATAAAGAAACAGATGCTTGACGATGAGCTCCATGAGAAATTCTTAATGCTGATAAACAACCTACATTTTCTTTGGGAGTTATCTTGTTTTCAGCCGTTATTGAGAGGACGAAGACCACGTTTAAACATTGATTTTCTTAAACATTTCATCTTTGCTGTGGTTGGAAGAAGACGATCTTTCAACATTGCTTTTATAATTATTGTCATCTTTGCTGCCGTTAGAAGAAGACCATCTTTGAACATTGCTTTTATTAAACTTTTCATCTTTTTTACCGTTTGAAGAAGACCACCTTTGAACATTGCTTTTATCAATGCTGTTATCTTACAAAAGACGGCTCATGTTATTTTTTCGATAAAATTTACACTTAAGATTTTTCTGTAACCTTTCCCAAATCGCTGGAAAATGCTTCTCGGATAGTGAAAATTCAAAAATTTTCTGGGGGAGCATGCCCCCAGACCCCCCTAGCGGTGGCTCGCGCCTTCGGCGCTCGCAATGCATCGGTCAGCTAAGGAGCTGGATCCGCGCCTGGTTTCGACAACCTTAGCGGTAGTCATCTTTAGAGTCAACGTTGTCAAAACGTAAGTAAACATCAACACCAACAGTCTTTCTCAGGATTTTACTAGTGATGGGCAATACCGCTAGTATCGATTCGATACGATACCGATTACTTTTTCTTAAAAGTATCGAGGTATAGATAACTAAAGCTACTTTCTCCAATTTCGAAAATAAACGTCTGAGTCGCTTCATAAAAATCTGATAATAGAATTGCTAAAGTGTGGCCTTATATACTTTAACAAGACGACGAAATTTTTATTTTTCTTATCTTAAATTACAAACTGCCATAACATTATTAGGAGTAACGATAAATTTTCAGAAGTTGTATAAATTCGAATAAAAAAATTGGTTACATCTTATTATTCTGAAGGCGAGATCTCCAAGTGTATTAATAAGTAAAAGTGAAAAAATTATTAAAATAATAAAAGAGAAAAAAATACAACATGTTTGTCAAAACCAACAATGAAAAGGAAGACAAATTACATGATAATGAAATTTTAAAGGTAATCGAAGTCCTTTTTCGATACCACACAGGATCGACTACTTCCGGATTAGGCTCGGTATAGGGCGGTATCGATACCAAGTAATCGGTAATCGCCCATCACTAGATTTCAACAACCTGGACGATCTACATCTACAAACATATAACGATACTTGACCTAGACTCTCCTCGTTAAAACTAAAGTAAATATTTAAATGTTTTTATGTTGAATTCTATTCTTTCATGGAAGACAAAATTGCAGAACATGTAACATTCCAGCAACAATCTAAATTTGAGTAGTCGTCGAACAACTCCAATACGCAGTTCACTGCATGGTAGCAGAGTTTAAATTGATCCTAAATGATAAAAATGTTATAGAAATAATCAAAAAACTAAGTACATCACCAAGGTTGGTCGAACTAAATAAAATTCAATGTGTAAGTTTCCAGAAACATTCTGTTTGGAAATTATTGTTGATGTTTGACAAACAGCCATTAGACAATTGCGCTGGCAGAAACCTATTTTTTATGAGGAGGGGGGACACCTCCGTAGGTCGGACAAAATTTCGTATACAAGCACGAAATATAAAGTTGAAATTCTGCAAAATCCATACAACATATAATGATTGTAAATGTTTTAAAGTGTTGATATATAAAAAGTCAAAACAACGAATTTTTTATGGTCTATTTAGTAGAGGCTGCATAGTTCATAAATGAGAATAGCGCTCCGTGTTGGTGCAATTGGGGCTTCGTGAGAATTAGAAAGACAAGCTTACCGCCGTTTCGACGAACTGCGGGCGTCTATTCCGGATCAGCTTGATACATTGGAAGGCATCCATCGCTTGGACAATTTTGATGCGGTCGACAAGATTTGAGATAGCAATATAGGTACCAGAGTGACCTGCTCCGTCACTGGATTAAAAAAATAAATATTTTTGTGTTTGTAGCAAATTTCTTGTAGCGATCTTCACTCAGACTTTAAACCACTGAATTATAACCACGAGAGCGACGGGGTTAATCAACTGCTAATGTTCCAGTGACACGTGTTTTACCTGCTCATAACAATGACAGGTCCATTTACATCAGCAAATCTCTGTGAATCTTCAACTTTAGATAAAATTTCTACCATACGGCCACGATATGTCATGAATCACGGACCATACGACCTTTTTTAATATCCTAAGAAGCAAAAAATAAATAAATGTAACAAATTATTTAATCATAAAAACACGAAGGAGCAATCAAAAGCAGAAATCCGCGTATTTATTCTCAAAACAATTGGGAATATAAGGAAGGAAAATTAATTAAGATAAAGCAAACATTTAAATAAACACAGTAGCGTAACCAGTCTGTGTTTTTAAAGTTAGAATGCAATTGATCTCTTCTGTATCATTTTTCACCGCGACTATATAGAAATATCTGCAAATTGAAGGCAAAACATTTTTAAAAAATACATTTATAACCTCTGCTTTTGATATTCGTTAAAATATATGTTGTGCATGTATCCGCACTGCCAGAGAAAAGCGACGAGTCATCAAAGCTTTTCCCAGAGAGATATTTAGACTACCTCAATCCCATATGAAACCAAATGTTCTATACTTAGCCATGAATCCGAAAAATTAAAAAAATAATTTTAAGTTCCTTTAAGCTCCTTTACAATAATTTGCTCTAGTAAAATACATAGTTACCGATACTCCAAATCTGGATTTCGCAACAATTAAAAAAATTTTTTTCCAATCTGCATGGTGGGCAGTTCAGGTTCCACTAAAATTTGAATTTGAATAAACTTATCATCTTAATCAAACCTGTACATAAACCATAAACAACTTACATCCATTTGTAAATACCCATATACCATTGCTGTAAATCCAGATCCCACTATTGTAGACGCTAAAACACGAACATAATATTTTGTCTCTTGTTTCACATTATTTATGTCTAAACGCTGTTCCTTGGTGGTATATTTCATTAAACACGTTTTATTTTCCAATTGTGTCATACAAACAGTGTAACTGACTATCTTTCCGTTTCTTTTGTTTACATATGGTGGCTCCCACGTGACTGATAACGATAAACTGCTGATGGCGACAAACTTAATATTTACAGGTGGACCTTCAGGAACTAAATAAAAATTAAAAAAAACTTTTTTAAAAGTTTTATGCGAAACAGTAATTATAAAAACACTTAAAAAAAGTTCTAACCACTTTACACTGTAATTGCTAACTTAATTAAAACATAGTATATGCGAGCTTTCAAGATTCGTCCACAATACAGGTTGCTTCTCTCTTATAACATCTTCGATGCAATCACAGAGGTAATGAATGCACTAAAAATAATATTAGCTCACCATCTTCAACAGTTCTAAAACTGGCTGTAGTTGATCTACCAAAGCCTTCAGAGTTGCCAGCGGTTACTTTTACCGCTTACGTTGTGTAAGGGACAAGATTCTCTAATTTGTAAGGTTTGAGTAGAGTTGCCTTCCAAGTTTTCTTAAAAATAACAACAGTATCCTTCAGCACTATTAATCGAACTTTAGTCAGAAAGTTCGTTAGATTTGTGCCAAGTTTAACACCAGTGTTTTTGGGATCTTTCCAGGATATCTTGAGGTATCTTGATGAGACTTTGGTGGCAGTAAGATGTGTTGGTTTGTCTGGGAGCAAGTCTGTATGATAAATGAAATAAATGATAAACTATACAAATTTAATCCGATATAAATTATTATATTGAACCATTAACACGTGTTTAAATAACTGTTGAAAGTGTCTTGTTTAAATAAAGCTATTTTAACAGAAAAAGTTAGTAACACTACGGCTTTCATGCAAAATATTTGTTCAGATTTATCTGTTGAGACGCATATAATTATTTCTCAGAGGAAACAAGTTTATATATTGAGTAATTAAGTTTTTAGAGAGAAAACTAAACCTTGCATATTTTCACTTCTTACCTCCACCACACACTTCAATTCGTAAACACAGTTTACCAACAAACGTCGCTGGAATGATTCGTAAATCCTTAGATTTAATGCCACCAGAGAACTTTTCTATGGCGACATCATTGTAACCATTTTTGTTTCCTTGATAAATCTGGAATAAAACAAAAAAAGATTTGCTTTTTTTGGTAGAGCAAAGTTCGAGAAAATCCGGCTTAGTTAGCGCAATCCAGAGGATAGTAGCCAGGGGCGGATCTAGGATTTTGGATACCATAGGCAAAACATTATGACGTCATTCAGTGCTAAACCTATGACGTCATACTTTGCAAAACATACTACACTATTTATGCTTTCGATAAATTGTTTAAATCAAACAGTCTAATCATTCAGCTATGCAGAATCTTGTAGATCTCAATCGTATAAATACATAAAAACATTGTATATTTATACTTACATATCACAAGGTCGTTGATTTTCACTATTCAGAATATTGAATGCACACAAGACTGTTTCGCCCCATATCAGGGCTCATCAGCATGCCTAGGAACACTTTAACGCAAAACAAAAAATCGTGATCCGGCGTGGACAGCCCTGTGAGAGCCGAATTAAGCAGACTGGTTGTGGCGCCAGAAGTTCACCTACACACCTTTGAAAAAGGAGTTTGGTTAGAAATGGGTGACTATATGGGATATTTCATGGATGTGATATTGCTCAATTTTTCACACCATCCCAGTCAATTCCAACCCTTACCCCCACCTAAAATGAGCACTCTGGTTTTGAAGGCGCCAGAAACTCGCCTTTCACACCTTTAGCAAATAGCAAAAGGAGTTTGGTTAGAAATGGGTGACTATGTGGGACATTTCATGGATGTAAGATTGCTCAGTTTCTTACACCATCCCAGTCAATTCCAACCCTTTACCCCCACCTAAATGTGCACTCTCATTTGCCAACAAATGAGCAGAATGTAAATGTAATGTAATAGTCAAAATAGAGCTTTGTATAAAGAGTCTTTGTGAAGACTAAAATTTGGTGTAAGGAAAAATTATTCTATTTATGCTTAACAATTTTTGTGAAAGTAAATTATATGTCGACAACGGCCGAGTACCATACATACTCAGCAGTTTTAAGATTGGAATGTATATAGGGAAAAAAACCTTTATCGGGCGAGCTATTAGTTTGATGCAAATTCTATTGACGTTACTATTGTGTACAACGCACAATAAATGGTTAACATATGGACATTTCAACAAAATAAAAAACTAGGATATGAATAAATTCATGCAAATTTTAGCCTTGTATTTCCAACAGCAAAAGTATTAATAACCAGTGGCGTAGCTAGCGGTCCCGCTACTCCCGCCCAGCGGGAGTAGAAATTTCCCAAAAAAATAATAAATATTCTATTTGGACATAAGATATACATTATTTCACGAACAATTTGTAATATTATGTTTTATTCGTTCATATTTACGCTTTTATTAGGTGGTCGTAATCGTAATACAGCAAAATCTCAAGATTTGTTATGTAACCTAGCAACCGCCTTTTCTCGCACATTGCATACTCGCGCGATTCTCCACGTATTCCGCCCATCTTCAGAGGGCGGAACATACAATATAATTCTATATAAGAAGTTTTGAATTCTGGTTGGCTAAGGGACTTGACGCATGCTCAAATCTGCTGTTTTATAGTCGAACTCCCGCTATTTTAAATTGGCGGAGGTTGTAATTATTCGACCTTTTAATACGAGTACAGCGATTAGTGATTATCAAATTACGTGTCATTGTCGGTATTAATTTTCCATTGTGTTTACTCTCAAATTGCTATTTTGTATTTGTGTATGACACAATGGCTTCAAGTGCGACTGCGATTTGCTCAACTGATGTTGATTTAGTAAATAGCTTATTAGCTAAACCGTTCTCTGCTCGATCGTCGGTCGAACAGAATGTTATCGTTCATGAACGGCCTACTCCTGATTTAACTATCCAAAATAAAGGAAGAGCATTTCAGAGAGATTGGTATGAGGCGAAGGACTGGCTGTGTGGCAGTACAACCTTGCAGAAAGTGTTTTGTTGGCCATGTCTAATGTTTTCCCAAAACATCGCCATCGTGGACTAAGAATGGCTACAACGATATGCGGAGTATTATGTCTGATGCTAAGAAGCATGAAAATCTAAATCGCATTTGACTGCATTTAAGACATGGAAAACGTATGGAGCTAGTGAACGAATTGATTGTCTTATGTCCCTCGCTAGAAGAAATGAGATTCAGCGTCACAATGAGGAGGTAAGACAAAATCGAGAAATTTTAAAACTGTTACTGAGGCCGTGCTGTATTTGTCAAAGCAAGAGTTGCCATTTAGAGGTCACAATGAGTCCGAAGGTAGCTTGAACAAAGGTAATTATAGAGAGTTGCTCGAATGTTTTGCTAAGTTTGATTCTGTATTTGAGCGTCGACTGCACAGTAGACTAGCAGAATCTGATATAGTTGGTGACAGAAGATTTACTGGAGTCTCCCAGAAATTCAAAATGATCTTATCAGCTGTCTTGATTCAATTATTGAAGATGAAATCAGAAAGGAAATAAATGATTGCACATTTATGAGTATTCAGGTTGATGAAGCATCTGATGTCTCCACCAAAGAGCAGCTAAGTGTTATTGCTCGGTTTGACAAAGCAAGTGAAATTATGGAGAGGCAATTAGGATTTGTGGATGTAAGTATGAACAGAAATGCCACAGCAATATCACAAGTTGTCAAAGATAAACTTGGTGAGTATTCTAATATAAAAGAAAAACTGGTTTTACAAACATATGATGGTGCTTCTGTCATGTCTGGCCATATCAATGGTGTTCAAGCATTGGTTCGACAAGAGTATCCTTTTGCTCATTTTGTTCATTGTGCAGCTCATAGATTGAACCTGGTCCTATGCCAGTCAGCCTCATCAATTTCTCCTGTTAAAATCTTTTTTATTAATATAGCTACATTCAGCACATTTACAAGCAATGCCCCAAAAAGAAAAGCTTTTCTCACATCTAACAACCTTGAGTTTCCTGCCCCTGGTGAAACAAGATGGTATTATCGCTCTAGATTAATCAATGTATTGCACAAAAACTATGAAAAACTTTTAGATATTTTTGAGGGGGTACTTGAACAACCAGCTGGGTGGGATGATGAGTCATTAAGTAAAATAAGTGGCTTACTGCATTATCTTGATAGCTTTCTCTTTTGTTTTCTAGTGTGTGTTTTTTACAGGATTTTAGAACAGTCCACAATTTTGTATTCCATTCTTCAAAATAGGGAAACCCATTTTAACTATGGCATAAGCAAGATTGACAATTTCAAGCAGTTTATTGTGTCACTTCGCACAGATCAAGCTTTCACCGAGTTTTACCAAACTGCACTAGAAAAAGTAGGCCCACCAGCAACCAGAGCAGATAGTAGATACAATTACAAACAGCTTTATTTTGAGATTATTGATTCCATTAAAGGCATGTTAAGTGAACGATTTCAAGATATTAATCAGTTCGAGTTTTAGACCTTGTAAATCCTAAACTATTTACTACATGGAAGGGCATAGTTCCACAGGAGAAGATCAATCTTCTCAAAGATAAGTATAGTCCTCTTTTGACATCCAAACTTTGGAGAGTCAACTTTCCTTCATTTACAACGACAAGGACTTTCACAAAGAGTGCAGTAATGAGGTTCTTAAATACATCTTCAAATTTAATCTCCAGTCGAGTTTAGGTCAAGTGGTAAATTTGTTAAAATTGAATGGTGTGTTGGCAGTGGCAAGTGCTTCAGTAGAGAGGTCGTTTTCTTGCTTAAAAGGGTAAAAGCTATTTAAGAAATAGAATGGGTCAAGGTCGGCTTAGCTCTTTGTGTAGAATATCTATTCACAAAGATATCATTGAAAAGAAAGAGGAATCAGAGGTGTTGCATAACGAGGTGGTTGAAAATTTGTAGAAAACCCAGGAGGCTGGCCTTTCTTTATAAATGATGAGTATAGTATGTGTTTTGATATTTGTTCGTATAATACATGGTACTTCATTGAGAAAATTAAGCATAACTTTAAAGAATAAAGCCATCCCTGTCTACTTGCCCCAATCTAAACAAGTTTAAACTAACAAGTAGAATGCTAAGAAAAATCTCTCTCTATGCACTTTAGAAGTGTCGTATACTATATTATTTTTGTGCTAATACAAATTTCTTCTGTTTATGCAGGGGCAGTGATGAGTAAATTATGTTTTAGGGGACAATTGTCTCCTGCGTAACGTTTCTCTGAGCCACCTTTAGTACCTTTTAACTAGTTGCAGTTTCAACGATTGCCACATTAAGAATGCAGCTAACAAAATGGGTTTTATAAATTATTGTACAACAAATAATTCGCCCTCGAAATCGCAGGAAATGCTGTTTCCAAGGCTCTGGATTTCAAAATTTTACGGGGGCATGCCCCGGACCCCTAGGGTCGCCTCCGGCGCGAGATGGATTGGCGGGAGTGACTATTTTTCCTAGCTACGCCACTGTTAATAACCTCACCAATATCTGGTACAATTTCCTGTTGAATTTGCATCAAGGCCAAACCATTTAAGCGTCCCCCAACCATGGTACTTCGCTGATAGTTTTTAAGTGTCCTAAGGGAAGAAATAGATCGTTCACATTCACAAGAGGTAATGGGGAGCGTTCCTAAAATACGTAGTAAAATTTTAATGTTTTCAAATCCGGCGAAATGAACAGATTTTAAAGTCTGGGCAATGTTATCAGGAAGGAGGCCGCAGTGGGTCTCCCAATAAGTGTACCACAACCTAAGCTCAGCATCTAAGGCCAAAGGATTTGGCAAATCATCATAATAAAAGTTAGCCACAGTTTTGAATGGCTCTTTCCAATCCACCCCATCTCTTGTCATGGACATCATTTTCGTCGGTACAATGCTAAGGCCTTTATTGACATTCACACTCTCAAGGTCGAATCGTGATTCTAAAGAAGATTGCAAATGATCTAGTAGAGGAAGAGTAATTGCACGTTTATAATACTCAGAAATGGTTGCGTGGGGAATATTTTCCCTGGTCGTTTGTTTGCGCACTGTTCTTTGTTTCCATTCTTCAATGCCAACTTTTGCTGCCAGTTCAAGTGCTTCGTCATACCAGGTGTCATGATAAAAATCAGAGGAATTCCTCATGTTCACCACCTCAGTTTTCAAAGTTGAAATTAAATGAATACCATCCATTATATCGATACTCTTACCCTGTAATAACTGTGTTACTGGAAGAGTTGAATCAAGAATATTTCTCGTGATAACTAAAGCAACGACGAAATCAAACCTGTCAATAAGTTGAAACAAAGATGAGGCATCAGACTGAAGCGACGGTTTGAACTCACCATCTAGATTTTCAGACATATCGTTAAGGGTGGTGTATACAGGTACAAAAGCTCTTGGAATGTATCTAAACCTTCGATACGTTCTACCCATCTAGTTTTGCAAACGTCTGTTAATCTAGTCTTTTCGAGTTTGTTTCTGAATTACGTATATGTTTTCAAAGGGAATATTGCGAGTTTGGGAAATTTTAATAAAATTAGTGGCATTGTTAACATGTTTCAACATATCATTGACAACACGTATACTCAAAGAATCGCAAATGGATAAGTTTAACCTATGACTATAGCAGTGTGTATAAAGAGCCTTTGGGTTAAGCTTTAAAATTTGAGCTGCTAGACCATTAGTGCAACCAGCAACTGAACCAGCCCCATCATAACCTTGCCCCTACAATCATCTATTGATAAAGTCAGTTCCTTTAGAGCCTCTAAAGTAGCTTGGCAAGTTGAGCACCACTTAGTCCCCACTTACAAAAAGAAATGAAATGAATTCTTCCCTGATATTCATATCGGTATCAACAAAGCGCAAAACAAGAGACATTTGTTCTTTATGTGAAGAATCAGATGCTTCATCAGCAATAACAGAAAAAACTTACTTTTTGATATCAGAAATAATCTGATTACTGATTACCTGGCCACAACATTTAATGATTTTATTTTGACTTGTTTTAGAAATATAACTTCTATTCTTACCACAATTCTTTAAATGATTTTCTAAAACTTTATCCCTCTCTAACTCCATAATTGAGTGTTTCAATGAAATTACCAACCCTCCAGATGAATAACAACCAACAGTAGGGTGATACTTGGAATCATCACGATGCCCACGAAGAGGTAAACCTAGACGTCCACAAAAAATGACAGAATCAATAATTGGAGATAGTATTTCCCTATTCTGTTCTATTTCTTTCTTGATACCAGCATCCATGATCATCTCGATAGGCTGCAGAGTACCTGATATTTGGGAACGCAAAGCATCAAAATTGGTGATGTGGATGCATGCAAACCGACTTCCTCCCTTTACTTTTTCCAGCATGTTGAGTGAAAGAGCATTTAGCATTCTTCCAATCTTGAAGAGGTTCAGTAAACAACTTTTTACTTACTGGCCTTGCCTGGGAATCTATTGCCAAACAACACACGATAGACAATACGCACCATTTTGTGAAGGTGAATAGCAAAGCCATTCATGCTGGTCTAGCCAATCATGCCTAAATGATCTGCCATTAGATTTAGGAAAATGATACTTTTAATCTGGTTTATATACATTTTTTATCAAATGACATATTTCAGAATTATCCATACCCTTAACTTTCTCCCTATACAAGGAAACATCAAAATTATGGGTTAAAACAGCAGGTTGCATATCACCAGAAGTTGGAATACCAGGCAATAGTTCCTGGGATGATGTGTGAAGCAAAAGACTATTGGCTTTATTTAATGTCTGAGCAAGAGCTGCAGCAGAGAAAAACTCTCATTGGGCATCCTTTTAAAAGTTGGTTGGGCAGCAGGCCTATTAGTTGAAGTAAAAAAATTTGAAATGTCAACTGTTTTTGGTGCAATATTTGGAAAAATTTTGACAAATTTTCGTTTCTCTGTTGTTGAGCTGCTAGAATTAGACTGTGTACAGGAATTAGACAATTTTCGCTTCAACCTGTGGGCATGGAAAATGAGAGGCACAAAATGATTAGACTGAAAAGTCTCACCTGGTTGTACAGATCCTTCATGACAAAACAAAATATTAATAGCATCCAAACCTCTTTGGCTTAATAACCGGGGCTGAACAATACGATTAAATAACAATTTATATCTACTTTCACCAGAATCAGGATAAAAGTATGAATTTTTCTACCTAAAACAGAAGATAGGCCCAAAATACAAAGAAAAGATGACCATTTCTGGTCATTACAATTTAAAATAGCCTCCTGTTTTACCAGTTCATCTGTTGTATATCCAGTGTCTAAACATTCTTTAGACACTGACAAAGGCAAAAGATTGTTTAAGCTTTGGGCAAAGTAATCACTGTGCTCACTTATAACAGACAAAAGCATGGGTGTTGAGCATAAAAGCAGCATGAATAAATAGCTCAAGCGATGTTAAAATTCGCAAAGTAGGGACCAATGCATTGTTACCTACCAGAACTAGGAAGCTGAACTGTAGAGGCAATTGCCAGAAGCTTCAGATCTTAAAAATATTCAAGAAAAGAAATTAATATTTTGTTTGGTAGATTGATTGCATTGTATGAATGAATTGCTGACTGTAGACAAAGATATAGCCTAGCGAAATTGAGATTTAACCATTTTACACGTATATATAAATACTACAATACGATATATATAATTATAATATATTTACCTTATTGCAGTACAAGTCTTTCCGTCATGAGCGTGCTTTGGCACATATATTTCAGCTCCAAAATTTCGACACAGAGTATGGTCGGGGTCATAAATTCTATCTAACAGCTGCTCGTTAGTAAACATAGGTCGAACGTCGACCAATAAACGAGAATAAAGCTCATTAAGGCATTTTAAATCGTTTTTGGCCAACGCAGACTGAGCAGTCTCGTATAAATTACCACAACACAATGAAGACATTATAAAATATCACAAAACCGTAAACTGAGCACAGAGGCTGTTCAGAAACAATACGAGTGTATGTTAATTTTCAATTGCCTAATTTGCCTAGCTCAACTATGCTTATCAACAGCAATGATTGGTTGGAATTGCTCAAGTTAGGCAAAAAATTGACCAATGAAAGCATACGGTTGCAAAAATTGCCCAATCAGAATACCTATACACGATGTCAAGTTAGGCAAATTCATCTTGTTTAGGCAAATTGCTAACAACCAATCAAATGGCTAGATCGCCTTCTTGACTTAGGCAAAATGGCTGCTTTGCCTAACGACACGGAGCTTTATAGATAATCATACGCATCAGTCGCATCTGGACTACGATTCATATCAAAATTACGTCATTTAATTGCACAACATTTCTAAACAAAAGTCAGATGATTTGACTGCGATAAAGTGCTATTCATAGTTTCATAATTCGATGAATTCGTATCGAATCTAAGTCGAAGTATATTTTGGTAATTTCACCATAGGCACTTGCCTATGGTGCCTACCCCTAGATCCGCCCCTGAACCAAAGGATGTGTTGTGCAATGCAGCTTTCTGGCACATACATTTTCCATGTTTTTTAAAATCTTGTGTCGTTGCTTCCAACCCATTTCTTCTTCTTCGTTAATCACTAATCTATAGCCGAAGTACAACGTTCCTAGCACTCTCGCAATCAAATCATCAGGAAATTCAATTTACACGATAATTTAGGACATTTACTATGAATATCATCACAACGATAAGAAGAGAAAACAAGAAAGGACAAGAACATGCTTTGAAGTACCATTTTTTTTAAACTAACAAAGTTGGTAACAGAGTAAACTCCATCCACTAAAACTTCCTGTTTCCTACGTCAGATAAATTAATGAGATGACAGTGCGCACATATTCATACATATTCCACTAACTCCAAAATAGATGAATGTATGAAAATCCCCCTCATTAAAATAAATTACTGAGTATGCTACGCCACAAGTTGTTTGTAATTTAACTTTATTTCTTATTTAATGTATTTAGATAAAAAGTATTACAGCCGTTTACCTATTTCAAATATTGACTATATCCCTAGTGTAAAAATTTGATGCTATGTTCCACATTGTTTTTACATACTGTTTAGAATCATTCACTCTCGTTCATTCTTATAGTTAAAAAGGAAATAAAATTTTATGTTTAATTATATTCTTTTATAGTACGCTAAATTTCAGAAAACGTCTAATAATTTTGCGAAAAATATTCAACTTCCCCCAATTTTGAGAAATTTTAGTAGCCGTCGAATGACTACAATACGCAGTTCACTGCACGGTAGCAGAGTTTGAATTGATCCTAACAAAAAGAATTACCAATATGACAAGAATAATGAGCAAATTTGCAGCTGCAACTGCACCAGCAATAGCTCCCGTGTTTCCACCGTCTACAAGATAAAAATGAATGAAAAATCATAACATTACCAACAAAAGTTGTGTTTCAGCGATCATTTTTCTAAAGCTGAGAGTGTAACCACTCTCACACCCTATGTATTCATCCCTGTCAACAATTCATGATTTCTTTATGGTATAAATTATGTTTGGAACGCAAGGAAATTACAGAAGAGGTACACAAAATCACTAAGGCAGTTATTTGTTGCAATTAAATCGGCTGTATCATCAAATAATATCTCTACTCATCCTTGAAAAAATTCTGGCACTTGTCTGTACTGAGATTTGTAAATATTTTGAAGCATTACACTTTAGACATCGATACACTTCCCTTAAGCTATTGAAAGCAAACCCAAACCTGAAGACTTGTGCTTTTAGGCAGTTGCTGCCACTGGACTCCAGTCAGTAGAATAATAATCACCCTAAAACGAAGTGAACATTTATATTTGGTTAAAAATTGCAGCATTCAATGAAGTCAAAACGTAAAAAAAAGATCGCACCTGATCATTAATGAAAATGCGCTGAAATATTTTGTAGTTAGTGCCAGGCTTTAGCGGGCCATTAAAATAATTTTCACCATTGGAACGCCGTGTTGTTATACCGTCACCAAGTGTAAAATCAGGCTTAAAGTCTCTGCGAGAGACTACAGCGGCAATATACGGCATTGGTTGTTCGGAAGATATGGCCTTAGAATAAGTCACTAAGTGTGTGTTTTTAAAGTTAGAAGGCAATTGACTCCCTTCTGTGCCACTTTTCATCGCGACTACATAGAAATATCTGCAAATTGAAGGCAAAACATTTTTTAAAAATACATACATAACCTCTGCTTTCGTTATTCGTTAAAATATATGATATGCATGTATCTGCACTGCCAGAGAAAAGCGACGAGTCATTAAATCTTTTCCAGAGAGATGTTTAGACTACCTCAATCCCACATGAAGCCAACTGTCCTATACTTAGCCATGAATCCGAGAAACTCTAAAAATACTTTTAAGTTCCTTTAAGCTCCGTTACAATAAATTCAGTAAAATACATAGTTACCGGTATTCCAAATTTGGATTTTGCAACAAATAAGTCAACGTATTTCCAGTCTGCTTGGTGGACAGTTCAGGTGCCACTAAATAAATAAACTTGAATAAATTTATCATCTTAATCAAACATGTACAGAATCCATAGACAACTTACATCCATTTGCAAGTACCCAAGTACCTTTGCTGTAACATCCAGCTCCAACTATTGTAGAAGCTAAAACACGAACATAATAATTTGTCCCTAGTTTTACATTATTTATGTCCAAACGCTGTTCCTTGATCATATACTTCATTGAACAGGTTTCATTCTCCAAATGTGTAATACAAACAGTGTAACTGACTATCTTTCCATTTCTTTTGTTCTTATCTGGTGGCTCCCACGTAACTGATAACGATGAACTGCTTAAGGCTATAATTTGAACATTTAAAGGAGGACCTTCGGGAACTAAGCAAAAATAAAAACATACGTTTTAAAGATTTATGTAAAACATTAAAAACAGTTTAGAAAGAAGTCCTAACAAGTGCACACTGTCATTGTTAACTTAAAGATATTACAGCATAAGAAAAACATGATTGAAATAAATGTCAACCAGAAAAATCTTGAGATTTCAAAAGTCGTCCACGACAATAACACCATCAAAGCAATAACACCCGACATGTATACACAAAAACTGATATGAACTCACCATCTTCAGCAGTTCTAAAAGTAGCTGTAGTTGATCTACCAAAGCCTTCAGAATTGCCAGCGATTACATTAACTTTATACGTTGCGTAAGGAACAAGATTCGTAATGTTGTACAGTTTTTTATCAGTTACCTCCAAAGTTTTAGCAAAAACAATCATAGCATCCTTCAGCAAAATCAATAGATACCTTTTAAGAGGATTCGAGACATTTGTACCAAGTTTTACACCAGTTTTTTGGGGATGTTTCCATGATATCTCGAGGTAGGTCGATGCAGATTTGGTTGCAATGAGATCTGTTGGTTTGTCTGGGAGTAAGTCTGCACGATAAAAGAAAAATCTACAAATTGAACCATGTGTAGCCTCTAAATGAAATCAGTGTTCTGCTTTTTCTTCAAAAACACAGAAACTAACACTTCAGCCTTCATGGAGAATTGTTCAGTTTTGTCAACTAACACATGTTTAATTAATTTTCAGAGAAAAAAACTTTATATATTGATTAATT